GGCTCGTTCAGACAAGCCACGCTACGCTGCTGCTAACTGTCACAACATAAATCCATGCAGAGCACGAACATTTGAGCCCCAATCAAAACATTTCTGCATGCACACAGACGGAGTACGTGTGCGTATGCGTGTGCATGTCACGGTGGTGTAGCCCTGTTTTTGTAGCACCCTGTGAAGGGGGAGGGAGAGAACCAGTATTGATTTGTGAGCAATGTGTGTTTGTGTGTTTCTGGGAATGCCAGCAGCAGCCTGACACCCCAGTGTGACTGACAGCTGCTGCTGATAGCACACAATCACATATCACCATAACTGTATGTAATCTGAAAGAATCTGTACAGAAATGGGATTTAGAGGTCAAATCTGGGGGGGGGGGAGAACTCCAATATTCCTGCATATTTATGTTTATTGTTTCTGCATGTCACGACTAGCTGTCTTCCTTCTAAGTATTAACTACATTTTTATTTCCTTATTTGTGGTTAAAAGCGTCAGACAAAAGCGTAAGCATAAACATATAATTCATGAAATGCATTAAAGTCAAGAACTTCAACTGTTTTAAGTCATAAAAGCATCAACATGTACTTTATAGCACTTAGGTTAGGAACATTTGCTTTCGAGATCATTTTGTATTTTATTCCAGATGGATTCAAAACTACCACGTCTATCAAAGTACCTATGAAGCATTTTTTCTCTTTGATGTTTCTAAACCCTTAAGAAAAGACATTGTTCATCTGTGTTTTCCTTATTCTTAAGCACAAAAAACTGCAATAGTTTGAGTTGTTTTCCTCTGAATAAGTGATATTTTATTGAAAATGAAGAGCCCAGATTAAGTATCTGCTGTAATTTCAGCCCTAATCAATCATTTAGTCTCTTGTTTGTTTCTGATTTACTTGAACAGCTTCTTAAATCATAGAAACAACCTAAATCCGGTTCAGATATCTAAAATATTAAAAGGTTCTGAATGAATTTAATGAACACCAAAACATAGTGGGATTTTTTTTAATGCTTGATATAATTAGATTAATTTAGTTTGTGAAGGGGTTTTGTTTTTTTTAATCCTGTTTTACAATATTTACCAGATGATAATTTGTGTTGTGTGTGTTTTTTAAAATAATTTTTCTCTGAGCATTTGTTGTTGTTTTTTTTGGTGGATTTACTGTAATTCAGACCTTTAGTCAGCAGATGCTCACAGCTCTTAAACTTTTTGTTTTCGTTGTTAGTTTTTCTTCCTCTGGGTGTTTCCTCAGCTTTAGAAGAAGAAAAAAGAAACTAAACATTGTTAATGTTTGTTTTTTTTGTTTTTGTTTTATGAGTTGGCAATTTTGTTTGCTTTAACAAATCGGTTTCTAACTCAAAAATACCTAGAAAGCCAATAAAAGCGGTTCAAAAATAGACCATTCAACAAACTCCACATGTTTACATTTCTCATTGTAGGAGAGTACGTCCAGGT